AAAAGTCCTTTGGCCAGTGGCACTTTTAAATAGTGGAATGTTCAATTTCTGTGAACTTCTCGTGGATCGCTGGCTAATGTCTCCACGCTTTACAAATTGTTCGGATAAATAATCTGGAGCACAACCAGTCATGCATTTAAATGCCAAAATGGCGTTTCTCAAATACAACTCGCTAGCTACTGGCAGCCATTTCAATTCCTTTAGTGCTGGTGTGACATGGTCAAATTTCCTTATACCACAAACTATTCTGCAAGCGAAATTCTGAATTAACTGCAGTTTCTCGATGTTACACTTTGAGGTGTTACTCCATACATTGGAACAATAATAAAGTCTGCTGAAAACCAAACTGTTCATGATAGTAATCAGAGTACATTTGTCGAAGGCATGCTTCACACGATTAATTTGACCCAGTATGGACATACACGTGGAGACGGTCTTATTAATATGGTGGTTGTAGGTTAAATTAACATCCAGAGTCACGCCAAGGTCCTTTGCCATTTCGATAGGGTTTATTTCTTTTCCCAATAGTGTCAGGGAAAAGTCCTGTAGTCTAGATAGCATTTGTCTGCTCCCAAACACCAATAACTTGGTCTTTTCAGGGTTCAGAAGCAGGCAATTGCTAAAACACCAATTTCGGACTTTAGTCAAATCCTCGTTAATATTCTCTATAGCAAAAGATTTACTCTGAGCTTTAAAGGAGTGCAGTAGACCTGTGTCGTCTACGTAGCAATGTGGATCACAGTTTTGAGGTGCAGTTGAGAGGTCGTTGACATAGATGTTAAAAAGTAAAGGCCCAAGGATACTTCCCTGCGGCACGCCGTTCGTCAAAGGCAAGGCATCCGATACTGTACTGTTTATTCGTACAACCTGCTGTCTGTTGGAGAGATAACTACTGAACCATTGTAAACACGATTGTGAACCACCCATATCTTGTAACTTTGACATCAAAAGATTATGATTAACACAGTCAAATGCTTTGCTCATATCCAATAAGACCAGAGATGTAACTTGAGAGCAATTTCAAATCTGTTCAGTTTTTTTTTATACACCCTGTATTTTGTTATATTATTATGTTTTCGAGATTTTTTCCGCATATATATATAAGCGTAATAATCTTTTTCCGAAAATTGAACCACGCGGTTCGCAATATACTTAAGAATTGAACTACTACTATTGTCTAAATCGTTCCTTCCGGTTATCATTGCTGCCGAGCATTAGCGAGGCAGCACGCTATCGTCGACGTGCTATGGTTTCCCCAGAGTGTGTTGTGGAATACTGGATGCAAACGATACGAAAATTTTATGCCAAATGTTATGCCTATTCAGGAGGACATTTGCTTCGTATTTTATTACTTCATTTCGCCATTAATTAAATTTATTATGCAATTAATTGAAACGAATCGAACACGCATCCAATGCCGCACATGTTGAAGACGCCGTTTATATTACGCACCAAATTCAATTTTTCATACCCTTGAGTGTCACGCAAGAATTGTGTCAATATACTTATGAATTTAGAACTGTCATGATCGCACAACGCAGACTTTCTGAATCTGTACGTAAATGATAATTTTATAATAAATCTTAGCCAAGTTGAAGAATTTCATCGCAGAAAGTTGGGTATCTTTCCAAAGTTCATGAAAAATAAAGTGATCGAGGTGAATGAAAACATCGCAAACATCTTCAGTACGGATTTTAATGAACATTGTATATTGTTTTTATTGCGAATTTGTATTAGCCTCAGTGACCCTGATGTCACATGATACTTTGAAACCAATTAGCCATGCTGAAAAAACAGGTAAATATGCCTAGTAGTAGTATACAATCTTTTAGGTAATAAGCGCTAGCATCAAGGCGATGAGCTTTTTAGTGTAGATTCTAGATGCAAACAATGTACTTTCAATACTTTATTAATAAGTATTCAATTGATGTATACAATCTTTTAGGTAATAAGCGCTAGCATCAAGGCGATGAGCTTTTTAGTGTAGATTCTAGATGCAAACAATGTACTTTCAATACTTTATTAATAAGTATCCAATTGATCGCGTGGTCGAGGATAACTGAATATGATAGCTTTATGATCCTAGATCCTTACAGTACGGTGGAAACTAAATGCTAAACAAAGTCATTTAAATATGGGTAAAAACAGATACAGTTGTAACACTTTTGAGTTTACCAAATGCTGTAATCGGTAACTAGAGAAAAATAAAAATCTTAGAAGACATTTACTTTCAAATTATTTTGTAATCTCAACTTTATGATAACAAAATAAATTAATACATACAGTGTGTCATTTGCAGTGTTTCATGGGAAAAGTTTAAACATCAGGAGATTTTAAATTTTACTTTCAGGGGTTCTTAAATTTTACTTTTAGTTAGGTCGAGATATTTTGCAGACGTTTTTAGCATGATGGCAGCACTCGCCTCGCGATGGTAACTTCTAGTTATATTTATTTTACCCAGACACATGATTTGTTTCAGTTCATGAGTGGATGTGTTGGGTGATATATCAGAGTACAAACACGAGTCGAAATGATTATACTATATTGGTGTATATCACGGCCTCTCATGCTGTATGTATAATAGCTTATGAAACGCGCGCAAGATCTAAATATTTGCGTGTTTACTTGTAAGTAATTGATCTCGTTCTGCGCATACGTTCTGCGCAGGCCTAGTGAGGCCTACATTCCAATGGTCGGACCCGACCATTGGAATGTTATTAATATTTCGGACCTTCCGAACTTTCTTGAATTGTATTCATTTACAAGCATAGCGAACCAGAAGAGTGTTAAAATTCAGAAAAAAATATACAGTATCTAATCATATTTTACAACTGTAGCACTGAGTTCAAAACGAGGTTCAAAATGTAAACAAAGCGTTTGTTTACATTACGGACTTTACATGGCCTTTAAGAATCGAGGGAAAATCGAGAGAATGCTGTGTATTATAGGTGGTACAACAACTCATTAAACATTGATTTCTTGACTGATAAATTATTAATGCCTGAAATTTACAAATAATATGTATATTGTACGTGCATATAAGCACGCAAAAACGTGCATGCGTATACGCACGCTACAAGAGTATAAAAATAGTCCTTCATAATGTTATATTACGTAATGCAGACAAATAAGGCTGCTTTCCAGTTAGCGTTTTTCGTACGTGCGTCATCTAAAGTCTCTAAATAGATTTAACATTTGCCATCCTTATAACGTCATAGAAAATTGCCTGAGGGAAACTTACCTACCCAGCTATAGATACCTAAACTGAGCATCGACTTTAGGAATCAACTGATTTTGGTTTTGGAGGCGATGTGATCAACTGGTTAGACTCTGATCTTAACGAACGTCAACAACAAATAACAATTCTTGGTGCAACATCAACACCATTACCAGTTACATCGGGAGTGCCACAAGGTTTCATAACTCGGCTCAACACCGTTTTTACTGTGCGAAAATAACTTTTCCCAATTCTAACATTGCAATGTTCGCTGCATGTTGACACAAATATTTTTAAGAAAATCAACTCTGAACAGATAGATGCCTCATTAATGCAGGAAGATCTTAACAACTTTGAAATCTGTTCCAATTAAAAATGCTTACCTACTTCTCAACACTGCCCATGGGCGTACCGGAAGGAAAAAATTAGGGGGGCGGAAAGAAAATTGCCCGACTTTTCGGGATTCTGCCCGACTAGTACCAAAAAATTTTTTCCGGAAAAATTATTTTGGCCAAAAAATTTCGGTCAGTGTACCATTTTAGGGGTCAAAAAAATTTTCCGGACAACCAATATTTTTCTGAACACAACACAAATTCTCGAAAAATCACAAAATTTGCCAAAAAATCGACTTAATTTTAGACAAAATTGACAGAATTTGTCCCATTTTTTTTTTTGCAAACCAAAATTGCCCGACTGTTGGTCGAATATTGCCCGACTGCCCAAAAAACTGGGGGGGGCTACCGCCCCCCCCCCGCCCCCCCGCCCGGTACGCCTATGACACTGCCAAATGCAAAACACTACGAATCACCCGGAAACAACAGAAACTACATTATCCATATAAATTACACCACAGTCAAATGACCGGCTCAAACGCACAGAACGCATAGAAAGACGTGCAAAAAATACAGTTTAGGCCTCCCTTTCTCTTGCGACGTCGATCAGTATACCCACAGACTAATAACATTACAATTACTGTTACCATTATTCATCAAGTCACTGTATGGCTCATGAATTCTTCGACCTGTTGTTCTTTTTTAAGGCAACCCATGCACGGGATAATTAATTTAGACAATGACGTATTACCTGTCCAAAGAGATGGCAACCGTTGTTACAAGATCTAAAGACCCAAACATGCATGTTTACATTTTCAAACAATGAAATGTAAAACTCAGCTTATCAAGAATCTGGGCGTATTACCTAGGCATCTAAGTGATCTAACTAATAAACAAACTGCTTTTAAGGATTTCAAAAAAGATCGACTCTTTGACTCCTTTGAGTGCTATAGTTTTGCATCAGTAAAAATATAATTACGACGTAGAAGATCCGAGACCGAGAGCATGGAAGTCGATATGCGTGAAATGCAACAAAGCTCGAGAATTACTATGACATGTTGTTTCTAATCTTCTAGTTTCTAACAACTACTATAACATGTTGTTTCTAATAGTTCAATCTATCACCATATGCTGATGTGTTTGTCAATTTGTACGTTTTGTAAAGTGTAATCCTAGAGGGACCACAGTAATTGGTCAGTGCAAGTTGTTGGTGACCCGGCCTGCCAGTTGTCAGTGTATGTCAGTTTCTGTGTTATATTTTCTATTGTGAATGTCTACGCTGGCAAAGCAAATAACTAAATAAAAGAAAGAAATATTGTTATGAAACGCGCGCAACGATCTAAGTATATATAGCAATTATTAAAAAAAGTGATTTAGTCAAAAAATCGAGGGAAAATTAAAAGAATGTTGTATAGGTGGATACACCAACTCATTAATAATTCATGAAAAAAACACAAAGAAAAATCACAAGCGTGTCGTATCTGTATAATTATGTGATACAGATTCATGTTGATTTACATAAACTTTAACATTGATTTTCTCGGCTTAGACAACGTTTATTTTTAAAATTACTTCGCCAATGAACTCATAAGATGAGTCGTTTTTTAAGCCATTTACAACATTCGCGTCCGTGTTGTATCGGATATACAAACTCTCGCCTTCGGCTCGAGTTTGTATATCCGATACAACACGGCCGCTCATGTTGTAAATAGTACATACACCAACTCATTAAACATTGATTTCTTTTGAATTTCTTCATAAATTATTAATGCTTCAATTTTACAATGTCACATTTTACACGTTTACAGTATGTAATTGTATACGTGTGTTTACACACGCAAGAACATCGTGCATGTACGCACGCTGCAAGAGTAAATTTTATAATTTACGTAATGTAAACAAGTTCTCGCTTGTTCCATATATAGCTACGTCTAAATGGATTTAAGATTTGCCATCCTTATGACGTCATGGAAAATGCCTGAAGAAATGCCGCACTTTCTAAACAATACCTAGCTATAAATACCTAAACGGCGCACTGAATCTATAATCTTTGATACAATATAAAATACACGGGTTATATTAACGATACAAACTGACAAAACATAGAAGCAGCAAGTGAGTATTGGTAATTAAACATGGTCCATTGGAAATCCTGGTTTAATTCCAAGTCCCTGTATTACGTCATTTATGTTTTTTAATAACTAGTTTAACTAGTTTGACTAGAGTTAGTTTAACTAGTTTAACTAGTTTGAGTTACATGAAGAAAATAGTTTGATACGACTATATATAGGCCTACATTTCATTAAGTATAACCTTCAAAATTCTGAAGAACGTTGGTCAATTAAAACGCAAAAAGTGCCTCTGATTTCAGAGAATCTTGATTTCAAACTTTCCCTACCACAAGACATGGAATGTAGGCGAACATGAAAAACATCACGTGCATTGACTTAGAAATTCCATTGTCAAAAACATCTCCCTCTGTGGTTCTGCTGACGTAAATATGCGGAGACGAGGTGTCCAACATATCCAAAACTATCAGTATCAATTTACGTCATTGATGTACAGCACACTATAAGAACGCACATTTTTTCAATCTCTTCAGTCAGTTTAACTTGTTACGCCATGCAACAGTAAGGCCTCGAATGTATACCTAAAAATGACGCCAAATAACCCATGACAATGTCAACAATTGATTGCGTCAGTATATATAGAAAGGTATAATGTGTCGGTGACTTCCTTAAAAGTGTCAGCAAATGGTAAAAGAAGACATTTTTGCTGTAAAAAATCATCACAAAGATGCCCGCTGCCAACCAGACCTCAATCGTTGACCATGAATCTCAAAGCTTTTCGATTGTGCGAGGTAGGCTACAATGTACAATGAGTAATGATATGCGATGGTTAAGTAGAACTTGACCAGGAAAACATTTGTGGTATACATGCTTACGTGTACTATATGTGTACATCCATCCTCATTCCCAAGTCATTGATTATTATTCGTGGTTAGCCTATAACACACCAGATTTTAGTGTTCCAACTATGTCAGGTACGACAAAAATGTATAGCGCTGTAATACCTTTCATTGAGCCTCAACACTATAGTCTGCGATGAACAGCGGTAAGATCGCGCATGACAGGGAGAGTTGGTTAAAGTATATTTACAAAATTAAAGGACTGGTGCCTTTTAACATATATTTCTCCTATTTTACTGATAAATTTATCTTTATAATTTATTGCATATATTGATCACTTGAAATAACACAAAATTCGTATAATAAGACTGCGGGGGATCTTGGTAATGATTTTATATTTTATGCATACGGTACTGAATAGTCAATAATCACGTGGTATATGGCTACATAAAAGACAAACTGGTATAGGTATACTTGTATTCATAAGATGGCTGCACGGTGTTGGCAAAAGACAGTTTAAAGAAAATTTATCCTTCAGATTGCGAATAATTTGGATTCAGTATTAAATGAAGAATTTGTCCAACGCGGCAGCAGGTACTCGCCGAATCAGCGTGATACAATGGATTGGCAGAGAAAATCCATCGAAAGAAATGATGAATGAAGAACCACTTTCAAAGGAAAGCTTATCAAATATGAAAGGAAAGTCCTTTGCATCACCATCATGTCCACTTGGGAGTAGAAGGAAAAACGAAAATAGATATTCATGTTCATTTTGTAAGAAATCATTCAAATGGCGTTCACACTGGAAATCCCACGAAAGAATACACACTGGAGAACGACCTTTTCAATGTGAGATTTGTGGGAAAACTTTCACCAGATCTGATGGTTTACAATGTCATAGAGCTCTCCATACTAGTGCATTATATTCATGTTTACCTCGAGGTTTACCACATGAATGTCGTCGTACTGCCCATCATGAAGTACAGTCGTCATTACCAGTGTGCCGTCTTTGCAGTAAGAGATGTTATAGTTTTGCAGGATTGATGAAACACATGCAAAAACACAAAGGTAAGGATTTTGCTGAACCACATCACAATAACTTGAATAACACTGCATTGTGCATGATGCCATGATTCGGTATTAATGTGTTTCTGTAGGCGTTATGAGAAAGCATGAGGTGGTCAACGTCAGAAGTGTTGACCCTCGAGTAAATTGAAGTACAATCCTCAATTGTATTTATCTGCCTCTACAAGACTATTACATATGAAACTCGAATAATTGCCAGTTAAACACCACCTGCTGCACAATTATTATAGTTCTTATAGTACAGAATAGATAGGAGTATGCAGAATTTAGCTTACCATTATTTTTATGTTTCAAAGATGTTACACTTTATTTCACGTATAGATATTTAACCATATCAGAGCTACATGTAATCCTATTTGTCTTTGGTTTTATATTATCTATATATCGAATCTAGCCAGGACAAAGTCTAGGAAATTAAAACATATATGCATGCATGTAGTATTAAAGACACATGCATGTATACAGGACAAATTCGTGATGATATCCATTACTCATTAGTCATACATAATGATTTGAATTCTATTTATTTTCTTGGGTAAACGTCACGCTGTTGTAACTGCATGTAAAAATCAGTGATAACTGTGTTTATTTTCCAGTATTGACTTTGCTTTTTATAATTACGTATGCCTTAATACAACTCATGAGCGTATTTACAGGTCTCTAGCTAGTTTCTTAGCTTCAAGGAATATGTGTTCACTTATTCCTACTGGCACTCGTTCTTTCGCATTCATGTTCCCATTCATTAAAAAAGTTACGCAGTTGTAATTTGGTATCACTAATAACCATATTTGTCTTTTTTTATCAAAAATATAGGTGGAACGGACTATAAATGTGAAGTTTGCAACAAGAAGTTTACCAAGAGAAGTGCCTTAGACGTCCACAGCAGAGTACATACAGGAATCAAACCATATCGATGTAACATTTGTACTAAAACATTCTCAATTCATGGAAATTTAAAAAGACATTTATTAATTCATTCAGGAGAAAGACCATATATATGTCTAAAATGCTCAAAGTGTTTTAATAATTCAAGTCATTTGACAAGACATATCAAAGCGAAACATCCCTCAGAAGAAAAACGTACATCAAAGTCAAGTTAGCTGGGTAGAAATCACTTAAAATTCTCGTTTATTTTTTCACATTTCCTTGATCACAATTGTGTCTATATATATGATGTAATATAGAATTACCTAGCAGAAGTGTTAAACGATTTTGTTTGAAAGAAATGCCAGTCATAAAGACATAGTTGTTGAGTAACATCTAGATCAAGGTGCGGTGCGGTGTTGGCATAGCAACCACTAGTAACGACGCCTCCGCTCATTATTCTGCGCCCTAGTCATGCTATTCAGCGGCCACCATATATATATATAGTTCCTTAAAATTCTGCGTTTTTCATGCAGTGATTAAAATGACGAGTATCTCGAAATGCGCTCACTTTTTCAAGTAAGATTCTCACTAAAACACAACGCTGTATACATGACAATCAAAACGAAGACATTCATGTTCTATATATTTGAGATATAAATCTAATATGAACTATAAAATTCATCAACTTATATTTCTGATTAAAGCTGAAAAACTGCTTATATGCTCAACACTCTTGATGACAATCTGTAGGCAGCATGCGAGACGGCCAAGGAATATAGTAAAAATTTAAACATTTTACCGACATCAACACAGCTCTAAATAAATCATCTGTTTAAAAACTGTTATCACTTCGTTTCACATTACTTGACCTGGCTGGCTCGTTGATAACTCTACTTTGTAACCTTGTCTCAATTGCAAAAAATAAGGTCATGCTACAAATGGAGGACATTTGAAAGACATTTGAAGACAATAAAATAATTCGTGTGACCTTGTGTGACAAAATAAGAGAGTTTATCGATATCTGACCGTTCTTTAAAGTACCTCACATTAATGATCTTACTCATTAGCTATAATTGGCTTTTTTCTCACAAGAAGAAAATATAACCACTTGAACTCAAAAGAATTGTATGCTTGGCGCCGGATCATCACATGACTTATATAAATAGTTTCTGAAATAAGGCCGTCGCTAAGAGGGGGTGTTGGGGGTGTGACACTCCCCGTGAAAACATCTTGTCGGCAAATGAAGGATTTTGTCGGCGATTTTGACATTTTTCGTCTTCGCGACGGCCCTGGTAATGAAAGACGAGATGTAACCATTCTACGTTGCAAAGACAGTTACATCATAATTTGCGGTTTTGAAATGTATATCTTGCCACGGTGGATTAGTGGCGTTGTGGATTCCGAACAAGAGCGACAATGGCGCCGAAATGCTGCGGGTGGGGGAGGTTCTTTTGAATTTTTAGGACTAGTTCTGAACAAAAGCCCTTTTTTACCGTTACGCCATACATTGTTCCCCCACTCTTCTGCCTGGAATTTAACTTTTGGAGGTTCCTGTGCACCCTCCCACCCCCTTGCCGATACACCACTATAGGCTGGGAAATTAGCTATCGTACATTTTCTAGTTCATTCTCTTTCACAAACAAAAGGGGCGTAGCCTACATTTATTTTTGAAATTAAAAATTTAAAAGAGTTTGCTTGAAAATATAATGCAGAAGTAAAACTAAGGACATATATATAGGACATATAATTATAATTTCATTTGCTAGATATTGCCTAACTGTTGAGGGGACACTTGGATATTTCACATTGCTGACTCCTGAGTATTTGTTAACAGGTTAAACCACTTCGGCACTTGTGATGTTTTCACATGCCAGCATATTGCAACACAAGATATTATTCCTTAATTAGATCCTTCCAACTAGTCCTCGAGCAACCGTGGGAAATGTAATTAGTGATATGAGTTGCTGATGCACGTTTTACTCTCATATTTGCACTTTTATTGCTTTAATTAATGACTATATGTAATTCGTACCGGATAGAGAGATTCGTAACTTGATGTTTCAAAAGCCATATGAAAGGTGGCATAAGGCGAAACAATTTGTCCAATGGTTTGATTTATCGAATCCTAGTTCCATCCGACACGAGTCCTGCAGATTCGTACCCAATACCCGTACCTATACCAATATCCAAAACCACGCAATATCTCAAATATCGATATTGTCGCTTAATTAACTCAAACTAGAATGGGTAGTAAAGTAGACTTTAGCGTTTAGTTTAATATTTCGGACGAGGCATATGTTATATCCATTTTTTATGATTTGTTTCAAGACTATTAGAAGCATTCATAATACACTCTAAAACACTCTGGTTAACTTACAATTTCATGGTTTGTATAGGTATAGTATAGTATAGTTTCGAGTGCAATTTGGAAAAAATATGCACGTCGAGTGAGTTTTTCAAAGACTATCAAAATTGCACGATTCCGAAGGACGAGTGCAATTTGAAGTCTTTGAAAAACTCACGAGTGTATGTTTTTCAAATTGCACGAGAAACCATACTCTATTACTTATTAATAATATACATGAAAAAATTAACGCCAGTCATTTTCTTTTTTATAATAAAATGCCAGCCATTTTTGTCTCTCCTAAAAACTCCTAAATGTTTTTTTTTATTATTTCTGCTGGAAATTGCTGTATCTTAGGCCTGTTTTATGCGTCGAATTTCGGTCGCGTCGAATGCAATTCCAACAATAGATAATGAAGCTTAATGAGATTTGTCATCTCATTATCTATATTGTCTTAATTGCATTCGACGCGACCAAAATTCGACGCATAAAACAGGCCTTATTGGCTATCTTTGTTGTTGTTTCATATTTTAACGAATCAGAAAGCCTACTGAAATAGTCAATGAAACTTGCACTGTATTTCTTTTTTTGCACAGTATTTCATTTTTTGGCACTGTATTTCGAAACAATTGCGCTGCTCTTATCATGCTCTAGTTATGAAGCCACGCACGACTGAGCAGAAATGAAATGGCATACTGGCAAACGTATGGCAGTATAATTTAGAGTATTCATTTTCTGTTTATCAAGTCAACGTCTCGAAGGTTTTGAACGTTTAACGATTTGCACAAGATCGGAACTCGGTCACGCAGTTCCTGGTCGACTATAGTACGATCGTACTTGTTAACTTAGAAATAACCCTATATTTAGGTTAACTTTCCTGGTTAATTTTCTCGGTTATTTTAGCCTGTTACATTACTGCCTAGTTAATTTAACCAGGAATATACGGGCCCCAGAATGTTTTAGCGTGTATTATCTAGTACCGCATATTATTGCGTTTTCATAAGAGAACGAGGCACATATACAATTAGTATTCACGTTCTAGGTACGTTTAGGTTGAGTTTCAGTAATTAAAGATCTAAGAAGAAGAATAGACTTTATCTTCATTCGAATAAACTCTATTTTACGATCATGTTTGGGATAATGTTTCTCGGCATGGCTGATAATTTGGTTTAGAAATAAGAATTTAGTCTGCAATTAACAATTTTTCATTTATACTACGAAAGATCTGATTATAGTGCCCCAATTATTTTTGATATTGCATTGCATTGCATTGCATTGCATTACATTGCATTGCATTGCATTGCATTGCATTGCATTGCATTGCATTGCATTGCATTGCATTGCATTGCATTGCATTGCATTGCATTGCATTGCATTGCATTGCAAATATGAGTCAAAATTAACAAAAGAGAGAACAGCGAAGTAACGAGACAAAAATAACATGGCTGCCGATATTGGCAACGAAATCTTTCCATGTTTTAAATGACTTACTAGCTGGTGCACTTTCAACTGAATTTTAACTCGAAATCTCGTTCTTTGATCTTGTGCGAAAATTTTGGTCTTTTGCTTTTTTATTCCTGTTTTTTAAGCCCACATTATACTCGAATTGCGTGGTATAATCCGTACTAATAAATTTAATTGCGATCCTGTTCAAACGAAATTGACTATATGAACATGAAGTAGATGCCCTTGATCATCTACCAAGCATCGTCTATCCTTTGCTCTATCTCGTGGACGAGCGTATTTGCGGCACTAGTTGCTGTGCAAAGCCACTTCAGTTTGAACAACTAAACAGGATGTATAAAAAACGGAGTCTATCTTCCGTGCTTAATAGTTTCCAGAATACAAGTCCTTAAAATGTAAATATAGTATTGTTACCTTGCTCTCCACGGTCTGGTTCTGCGGAGGAGAGAGGAATTTTACCTGCACGTTATTTCGTTGTCATGTTTTCATCAGAGAGTTTACGATTCACGACACGGCTAGAGAAGACGTGTTAGAAAGGCTTGGTAACTCGCACGGCCAATGCGTCTTGTGTAATTCCAACTTTACATTTTGTCAATTTCACGTTGTGATCACTACGCTGCGAATTTCAAGTGAGTATCGAATACTTTTACATTGAAAACGTGAATTTAAGTTCTTAGCTTTCCATTTAAATTCGCTCTTTCAAAAACAAAAATTACAAAGATTTTGAAAAACCTATAATTTTCCCGCCAAAAGAAACGTTTTATGCTAGCGCGTTGTGTTTCGTAACGTAGGGAACAGAATAGGACGACGCGGCTTGGGCCGCGCTAGTTACAAAGCCTTTCTAACGCGTCTTCTCCAGCCGCGTCGTGAATCATAAACTCTCTAATATAGGCAAGTGGCCGCATGCAGCCTAGGTAGTATATTTATGAGATTGCACAATAAATTCACGTCAGTTGAAAATCTATTCTGCACTTCAGGGCTTCAAACATTACTGCTCTCTGGCTAGTACTTTAGTTGTTCTTGAAACGTAGTCATAGAAACATAGTCATAGGTGTGTTTTATATCCGGGACTTGCTATAACGTAGTCTAAAATTAACTAATAACATCCGTTAACATTTTATTGTTTCCTGCACTTCAAATTTCCATGAAATGCACTGTAGGGGGTCACATCGGTAGTTTCTGCGAATTTTTGTAAAACATGCGGTCAGTATAATCTACAGATTGCGGACTGCAGACCGACTGCATGGAGATAAAATGCTGAAATTGTGATCAGGTGACCGACCGCTATCCTGATTTAACTGGTACTGTAAACGTTCATACCATATTAACCGTTGAGGGGGACTTATTGGAAAGGTGGCTCAAAAGGAGGGGGTTGATAAAGGGAGGGGGGCTTAAAAAGAGAACGACGACTTATATAATTATGGGACATATAATTATGGGTTCCTTATAATAACAGGAACGTCATTGCAATTGCAAGTTTAAAAATATATATATTCACATAACAATAATTAAATGTTTAACGACTACTAAATGTTAAGATAGCGATCACCTGACCGGATTTGGGTCATCTGTCTCAGTATGAAAATTATAGTTAAATGAGCTACGATTAATACGAATAGCATTTGAATGATTGAATTTAATTGAAACCTTATCATACAATGGAACAAATCGTATAGTACAAAAATGCACGGCTGAGCGTGCAATAGTACGCGTACTACTGCACGCTGAGCAAAATGGTAGTTTTTACTCAATATCACATAATCATAATCCGCCAATTAAAAGACCAGAATTTAATGAGGTGTTATATGATGCATTGTTTCATACATGGAGCAGGGGCTGAGAGGATAATAAAAGTTCAGACAATTTCCAATCCAATACTCGGGCAATTTGTCAGACAGTTTTAAATCTTCAACGTTGTGATATGAATTTTAAATGCACAGACAAGTATTAAAATAATACAGACATGACTGTTGTTCTCTCAAAGGACTTGAAGGTATAAAATTGAATATTTAACATATCGGGCAACTTCCGAATTTGTCTGTCGGTCATGGGCGGATTTACTGGGGGGTAGGGAGGTTAAAACCCCCTAGAATCTCTCTAACCCCTCTTATAAAGTGTTCAACCCACCAAAATTACGCTTCACCCCTCCATTTTGTGTGAAAGTCTTTAACCCTAACGCCTAACCCCTGCCGAAGCTCGCTCAGTGGTGCCGCTTGCATCCCACTAGAAATGTTTTCACCCTTCCTTTAAAAAAACGAAAATCCGCCCTTGCTGTCGGTAGTGATGGGCTCCCCAATTTGTTTTGCCCGTATGCATATGCAAGTCAAGATAACTATAAAGAAACTCATTTCGACCCATATGCAATTCACTTAAGACATATTTTGTTTGTAGATTTTTCGTACATTTAATATAACAGAAATTTTTCTAGTAATGTCATGTGTATGATATTAAATGTGCATGAAAAGCATGATCACCTTTGCTCATCATAATGTGCATGATCACCATTATACGCTTACCTAATTACACACTTAGTCTAGACTATTTCATTTATTAGACTATTGTGATATTACGGCTTCTTAACAACAGTTGTGATATTACTTCTTGACTGTGTTTATCAGATATAACCCATCCTGTCAACTTCCTTGTGGGAGGAAACCGGAGAACCCAAAGAAAACCCACGACTTTCGGCAGACTCTCTTCTCCCGCCCGCACTAAACGCCTGCTACGCAGGCTAGGTAGACCGTTGACAGATTCGTTTCACATGAGTCCGTAGCGGGAATCGAACCCACGATCTCGGAGGTGAAAGGCGCTTGCTCTAACGACTACCGAAGCCACACATTCATTTTGAAATTTACCGAGTTTTCAGACCGTATCTCGACTAAATATGGCTCGTCATGTGATGAAGAACGCGCAGAAATGGACAGTATAGAAGGTATTATTTACAAGTTCACAAAAACTAAATATAAAACTTGGTCGTAGCATAGTCGAACTACCTGGCGATGCGGTATACGACTTAATGGGAAAGAATTAATCTATTTTTAGGGCGGCGTAGCCCTCCTGTCAAAACTGTGACAGGTGCTGAAGCCCCCCTCCCCCATAGTTTAAATTCACTTAAGGAATATTCCATTGACCACAACAGTGTTGATAATTTTGTTCACTTTGCCTTTTAGGCAGCGATCAAGAATCTTCATATTAGGGGGGGGGCCCATTTTACCTCCACCCACCCACCTCCCCCCCATGGTCCTATATAATTGAGTGTGTGTATCGCGTGAAATTCAACCATGCAAGTCAGAGGAGATCATGCACATATCCACATGTAAATTTGCGCTATAGAAATGTTAATGTTACTACGATGACCTTCAAAATCAAACCGGATGCCATTAGGCGATTGCAAATTTCCATGCAGACCGTCTCGTGAATTTCCAGTTTCCAGACTATGAAAAAAGCGAGGTTCGTGTGAATGTTTCATGACGTAGGATTAGAAAAATCTATAGAAACCGCTATGGTCAAAGCTGACCGCGGGATTAGTCAGGATGTAAGAAATAAGAATCCTATTTACTACGGTCCTCTTATTTATTACGGTGCCCAAACGAAGTTTAGCGTCGCTTCATATTCGCTGCGTGAGTTTATTAGTTTGTTAGTCGGTTGGTTTGTGCATGGTTCAGTATTATGTCTGGTTCTGTTCCCTCATAAGAAACCATTACACAGATTACGCCACAATACAAGAATTAAAGTTGGTCAGCGGTCACCACTGACCCGTGCTATCAGCCGGAACATTTGCACTGGTTATATACCGTTATATGACTCTTACAATATCATACAATATTTTACCGGGGCATGTAATGCATCACATAGTAACTACTTCTTCGGATGTTGAGGAATGACATGAGTCTTATATGATCCTTGATTTTGAGTAAACTGATGTTCAAACTCCAAGACGTTATCAAGAAACATCAGGTTAGTAATTGCTGCATGATGAGTTTAATAACATGACATCTTCGATGTTCGTGTATTATTTAAATATAATAGTGCAGTGTACGAAGTCTTCTTTGGACTTTAAGAAAACTCAAAACTCACTGAGAATTAATCTAATTATCTATAGTTCTCTGAAGAGCTTAATGATGTACGAGCAAAATTCGGCAAACACTCAAAGAAGGAAATCCATCTCTTCTCTCAATAGTCAACGTGTTAGTGTTATAAAATGGATTGGAAAAGAATTCAACGTAAAAAGGTCTTCCACGAGTGACTTGTCGATTACCGAAGACAAATCATCTTTACCATCGTCAGATTCGACAGTAGAGAAGAGTAGCAATGAAGAAAGAAAATATCCATGTTCACTTTGTAAGAAATCATTCAAATGGCCTTCACATTTGAAATCTCACGAACGAATACACACTGGAGAACGACCTTTTCAATGTGAGATTTGTGGGAAAACTTTTACCAGATCTGATGGTTTACAATGTCATAAAGTTAATCATATTACACAAAATGGCTCATTGTTTCATAAAGATCAAAGACACGCAAAAGAAGGTCCGTTGTTAAAAGCAAAATATCCCGAGTGGTCGAGAAATAATGATGAACTTGCAAGACAAAATATGTCTACTGAACAAACAAGATTATTTTACTGTTCTGTTTGTAATAGAGTCTTTTTAAGTTCTGTTGGATTGACAAAACATTTTCGCGTTCACAAAGGTAAGTCAGTGTTTACGTATACCATGCATTCGTCCTTGTTTGTACAGCGCCTTTCTTAAACAATTTGTACCACATTTAAACCATTGCGTATAGAATTCTCTATGGCAGTGTAGAGCGGTCAACATTATTTTTCCCAATGCCAGTGGAAGATAGAATAGTTATTCGAACTAACCTAAAACTGGCCACGATTGTTAAGGGTTTTAACATTTTCTGTCTCGAATACCTTTCTTGAAATTAACGTTATTGACTCAGAACAGTCGGTTAAAGTTCATCGCCGCGCCCCCGCCACTACAAAAGCAGTAAAGCAAACAGTTCAAAACCATGCAGGGATCCAATCGATTTTTAATAACCTCAATTTGCTCAAGTTAGTCAACGTTTTGTTTCAGATACAGTTTAATTTTTCTGGTGGTACTTTTTACAAAACTTTTTAATTATGCATTTTCTATTATATTTGTAACATATTTCCAGATATGACAGCGAATTGTATACGCACTGCTCTATAAGTTACCAATATGTCCGACTATATTTCTCGTTAATGTGTTGATCCTTATAAACTCTGCACTTTATAACTCAGTCAAGCTCGTCGAATATAATTCATGCTTATAATTTTCTGGTGTATATGCCCCCGTGTTTAACTATATATTGCCGGTTTCTTGTTTCACTATACGGCCTCTGCATAACTAGCGGAGGAGAAGGAGTCTCATCAGCACTTGAAGACCGCGGGTGCTGCGTGATAAACATAGCCATGCTGGCATGTTGAATGCATTGGATCGTTGCATTTAAAGTGTAAATCATATTATATTAAATTGATCAAATTTAGTCTCAGACTTTGTATTTTCTCGGTTGAAAAACATTCACTAACCCCCCACATATCGTTTATATATAGGCTCATTAGCAAGATATATGTGTATCTTCAGTGTCTAAATTGCAACCCAAAAACTTGATCATATATATTTTCATTGTTAGCTACACATACTTTACTACATTGTTTACTACGTATTTTTTCTAGGAACGTCTAACCATAACTGTGAAGTGTGCAAGAAAATGTTTACCAAAAGAAGTGCCTTAGAAATTCACAGCAGGGTACATACAGGAATCAAACCATATCGATGTAATATTTGTACTAAAACATTCTCAATTCATGGAAATTTAAAAAGGCATTTATTAATTCATTCAGGAGACCGACCTTATAAATGCTTGCAGTGTTCAAAATGTTTTAACAGTCCAAACCACTTGAAAAGACATTTACAAACCAGACACAAGAGAAATAAAGTAGATTCTTGTTCAACAAATTAATTCTATATACAGCTATTTCATTAATTAAGATTGTCCCCGAGCAAAGCGGAAAAGTCGAATACGAGCGCGAAAGGCTTGCTGGGAATCACTAAAAAAGTCGAATACGAGAGCGAAAGGCTTGCTGGGAATCGCTAAAAAAAATTAATTTTTTAGCGATTCCCAGCAAGCCTTTCGCGCTCGTATTCGACTTTTCCGCTTTGCTCGGGACAACCTTAATTAATTAGAAAATAAGAAAATAACAACCTTAAGAAATCAGGGGCGTACGCAGGATTTTTTCACCAGGGGGCAGTAAGACCTATATGCCGAAAAAAGTCCCAAATATCCAAAGAATAATTAATAATGACATTCTAAAAAACGTAAATATAATTTTCACAGCGAGGGGGGGGGAGGCTGTGTACGGCCCTTATTGAGCTGTATGATACAACTGAAAAATAAAATTAGCTGTATGATACAACTGAAAAATATCAAAGATAAACTGTCTAATTAAACATGCAAGAAAATATCTAATGAATTATTTCAAAGTTCGATCCTTGTACTCTCAGAGCCGTCGCCATTTTATTGAAAACAAAGGAAACAAACATACAAACAAGAAATTATAGTTCATGGGATAAATCTACCCAAGGGGGGAAGGGGGAGGGAACATTGATTGTTATATTTCGTCTCCTCCGGTCTCCTTGTTCTTCATATAATTCAGCTTGCAAGGAAATTATAAGCTTGCAAGGAAAAATTAAAATCCTGAAATACATACAGTTTCCTTTTGAATTCTTGATGTGAAGGATGAGTATTCATGCCGCCATCTTGATAAATATTCGTACTTTACTATAGTTTTTTGCTTATCCACCAGAACGACAAACAGAATATCAAAATCGATCATGGTAAAATTATTCAATAGACAATACAGGTCATTTATACACCGTTTTTGTTACAAGTCTTTCTTGGCCTTATATATAACAAAAACCAAAACCTGTTTCCAAAACCTGTTTCGAACTTTATAATTTAAAACTTTAAAAAAATTAAATAAAAAAGAAACAAAGACCCGTTTCCCGGCTTTTTTTGTGATATCCGGACGAGAAACATTTTTTTTACTTGGCCTATAAGCATGCATGTGTTGTGTTCATGATCAATATAGAGTCAGATATATTGGTAATTTCTCTGAACTAACCTCGGAACTGATCTAATATAGAAAAGTTGTTCCGTTATGTTTTCATTGCAAATAACGAATAGAGAATCATAAATACAGTATACAGTATTGTACTAACAAATATGTCAGTTGACAACTTAAATGTCAACATTAAAGTTGACATTCAAGTTGTTAACTATAAGCTAGATGCGTTATACGAGAAATGGGAGAAATATAAATGGCAATAATACTAGCTAGGCATATAAATTTTGAAAAAGTAATGCAGCGAACGGGCCAGTGTCAAGATCTATACCAAAGTTAAGTGATAAATCTGTGTGGTGTTCAAAACTGACACAATTAAAGCGAGCTTAAAGGCTCTTTTTCACTCAACAAGGCCCTTCGTCAGGAAGTAAGTAGCGGGGGTCGGAAAAATTAACTGAGCTTTTATACTATAAGAATATAAAAGGCACGTGACAAAAAATGAAACAATCAGATGGATTTAGTAAAGAATTAAGAAAAGTATATGAACAAAAATGTAAATCACATGCATTATAGAATATATTATTAAAATACAAATATACAGAAAACTACAACAAATACAAAGAAATATATATGAAATGGAAAGGAATAAGGTCAGAATAAAAAGTACTGTCAACGTCTGCTTTAACTCGTTGACGTTGTGATTACTGACTTTCATCCAATCGCAATACTTGACACGCAGATTATTAGATGCAAACATACACTCGCAGCGAGCTTACGGGTTGGTCTTGCGATGAGTGGAAAAGAGCCTAATAAAAATACAGGGTATTCACAACTAAGATATGAGAAAATAGGTAAGATTGATTTTTTATTCGATACCATCAATTTATTAGATGAATTTGTCACTGACTATATATAGAATTATAGATGTATACATACATACTTCCCAACAGTACGATGAACTGTGTTGATTTTAAAGAGTACAGAGCAGTGGTAAATGTTTTGTATACCTGTGAAAGAAACATGGACTTCTGAAAGATGTTGCTCCATGTCACAGAGCCCTATGAAACAACACTCTGTCCTTGACTTAGACACAAATAGTTAATGCAAAAGCAGCATTTTCCGTAGAGATTATAAAAGAATAGAGCTAGTGCATGGGCATAGGAAAAGTTCAGGCAAACGAAAGGAATAAATTGAAGCTTGCTATAATGGGTGGAAATTTGATTTATACCCGGTGGAAAAACAAGAAAATCTATTTTTTCACCTGTTGCCTATAATTCAAGTATTCAATCCTAGTTTTATCAACAGTCCTGACTGTTTTACATTTTTTTGGCGAAAAATTGAGGGATATTCCGTTCTATATCGTGGCGTTTCAAAACTTGTTTCGTATTAAAGTTCAGGTATTGTTGTTGATTTTGAGCTTTTAGTCCTAGCTTGAACTACGCTAAAACTGGAAAAAATCAATGTTTTCAAAGTTGTATTATTTTCGTAATTTCTCGCTCCCAAACATATTAAAACGGCTAATTTGCATCCGGGAATGACAATTTATATCCAGGCAACGATGCTTTAGCCAATCAGAGAGCGTTATTTGCTCCCATTAGGAAGCTTCAATTTGTCCCTCGATTCTTCCCGCAATGCCCACTCTATTCTAGTATCTTTCATAATCTCTATGGCATTTTCCAGTTTATCACAGAACCATTATCCTAACTTCAGAGCTGCAGTTAAATTGGGGGGCGGCAAGGGGATTTTGGGTATATGGTATACAATGGTTTTTAATTCAAGTATATATTTACAATACTATTATGTGTATTTGATGTATTTAAATTTTTGTGAATTTCTGGTATACTAGGGTTTCGGGTATTTTGATTAACAATCAACTTTCTGTTTCAATTTGTTTTCCTTCTATTATGCATGTATATATTATTGATGGATCCGCCTGGTAAAAACAAGAGTATATATATTATACGTTATACATTTCAGAATCTTACAGCAACTCAGCGAGAGAAGATGAATCCAGAAAAGATTAGAGCAAATGATAATTAAGACTGTGGGCGCATCTAGCTGGTTCACAATATATATTGCCATTAAAATCAGAAAACGTCGTGCTGAACAAGAGAGAATTCTACGATGCACTCCTGAAATATCGGTGGACACCGAAGTATCTTCCATCATTATGTGCCATGCATGCATGTCTTGCATGAAGAGTGGCTTCGACGATGTACGAGCATGCTGAACGAGTGTTTAAATTATCTACCATGTGTTTAAATCACCAATACTTAACAATTCAGTATTGGATGAGGTTGAGCAAACAAAAATTGAAAACAATAAGAACTATATTAAATTTTCAATTATTCAAAAATCAACCTATCTAAGAAATTTCCCGCGTATTGACGCAAAAAACCGCGGGAATATCTACAGCTACATCAATACATGCAGGTGCTACAACTATATCTGTTTAATGTACGCTGAGAAATAGGGCGGGCCCCTGCAAATGCTTAGAATTATCCGTAGGCATTTAGCCAATGAGTAAACGAAACCAGAGTACAGAATAGAATACTATATATGAATACATGCATGTATAGCTATATATAAATTATTATGCACCTTAGTAAAATGATAATTTTAGGGTGATTATTGTGACAGGTCTATAATGAATTAATAATCTATGCAGAACAGTCTATATAGTTTAATAGTAATAGTAATTCCAAAACTTGCATGCATGCAGCTATGCAGCTGAATTATGATGGATAAAAAAAATTACAATTTCCTTATAAATAAATATACATACAACTAAGCTAATATTAAGATTAAACTACGAATTACGACTATAGCATTAGGAATACTAATTTAGAAATGTTAAGATTGTTAAGATATAAGGTTCGAAATTGATATCGACCTGTGCTAGCTATTATAAAAGAGTTAGTTTTAAACCGGTTCGTTTTGCATAGTCTTGGTAACCTAAATACTCGCTTGTTCCGTAGGTTATATTGGCATTCACTGATCATATAGGTGGTAGTAAAGCGTGAAGTTTATGGTCTGGGAAATATAAAATAGAATTTTGTTTTTTTCTGATCAGATAATTAATGACAATCAATAAATGTGATGTTATTATCGCCAGGAAACAGTTCACCATCCCATTATGTAATGATTGTAATCACCTCAAATCAGAATGGGATCATTTTTCGGGACATGTACCTTGCCCTGTATAATGACTGATTAATAATCATTAACACTCGAAGTCAATACGCACAAAGAAGCAGGAATTTGTAATAAAAGCCACAAAGAAGTAAACTCGAGAATATTCCAAACAGCAACCTTCAAGTACCCAGTGGAATAATAAAGCGATTTACAATGACCTTTTACTCCAACTCTTTGATATACAAAATTGAGCCTTACTCAATAGTTGCACTTGACATGCACTTAGTATATAGATTCAAGTACAATTTGGAAACCAGCATGAGTGAGAGGCACTCAGAAATATTATGAATACATTCAACGCAGGATATCCAATCCATAATATTAAATTGTACAATGAGTTAATTAGATAACGCCTATATAAAGTTCCCAATTCAACAATTAAACAAGGCTATTACTATAAGTATATAAGTATATATATATATATATATATATATATATATATATATATATATATATATATATATATATATATATATATATATATATATATATATATATGTATATATATATATATATATATATATATATATATATATATATAAATATATATATAAATATATATATAGACAAGTATCGAGTTTGGAATCATATATGAGTAGAGTGCTCAATACCGTAGTAGAGCTGATAAGATTAGAAGACAAACTTGAATTACTTCATATGAACTTTATTTCACTACAAATTTGTTTCGTATGACAAGACGAGTCTTGCCACACTCATTAGGTGAATTTAAATATATATATATATATATATATATATATATATATATATATATATATATATATATATATATATATATATATATATATATATATATATATATATATATATATATATACTTATATATATATATATATATATATATATATATATATATATATATATATATATATATATATATATATATATA